AATGAATTATCAATTAATTCTGAGAAAACAAAATTTTGGTTTTCTCGAAATCCTGGGCCCCGACTGTCTGGAAGATTGGTAAATTATCATTCCAGCAAGTCCAGACCTTTAAATATTTGGGGATCACTTTCCACTTTCGACATAGCTGGATCTACCACCGTAAATCTGCCATTTCCTTAGCCTTGCCACATTTAAATGCAATTGCCCGATTCCACTTCTACAGCGGCAACCAGTACATCCCCGCTGCTCTCCATATATTTCAAATTAAAATTCTTTCCCAGTTGCTATATGGAGCCCCAATCTGGATTGAGGCTGCAAATCAAGACCTTGACAAAATAGCGGCCCACTTCCTCAGAAGGATTCTTGGGGTCCCTAACCTAATTAGATTATCCACATTGATACTTGAATTAGGTATTCATCTTCCCTCTACCACCGCTTGGTCCCTAACTTTCAAGTTTTGGCTTAGACTGCACCTCAGTACTCACCCAGACTCCATACTCAATGACCTATTAAAAGATCCCTTCTCATCCAAGTGGTTTAAACTTCTCGATGCCAAGCTTGAATTTCTGGACCTCTCCCCCGAATCCCTCGCAGACACCAACCTTTATAGAGCGCACCAAATCATCAAATCCAAACTCTGGCAACAGGAACTCAACTTTTTACTTCCCAATTTAAATCCTACTTGCTCCCCCTATTTCTTCGGCCTCTCTCCCTCTCTCGGTAGACCCTCCAATTATTTTAGTAAATTAATTAATCCCAGTAAAAGGAGAGCATTTATGTTAGCAAGGCTAAACATTTTTCCATCAGCTGCTCATTTTGGCAGATTTGCTAACATACCACGCAATAACAGACTCTGCCCCTCTTGCTCATCTGAGCCAGACTCTCTAGATCACATATTACTCCGTTGCCCGGCTCACCAATACCTACGAAACAATATCCTCGAACCCCTTCTGTCTTCTCTCTCTGTGTCATTTGTTGACCCTCTTCCTATCCTTCTAAGTGACTACTCAGCGACCATCTCCAGCTTGGTAGCGGATTTTCTA